GGACTTTTTCTTGGCTGGACTGTGTAAGATTCTGATAATACTGTCACGGCTGTAATTTAAATTATTTGACTAAAAGTTGATTTATATACTATAATACCTGGGTAAGGGGGAGAAGAAGTATCAAGGGGAGGTGGAGGATGATGGGTTTGGTCTGTTGATAAAATAGTGGAAACTAAAAAGCATTATTTATACAGATCATACTCTCTGGAAAGATGGAAATGACCCCTGACAAAATTAGATATCAACTGTCATAGACTTTGTTAGATAAAGAATGGCAAGTTACCATGCAAATGATAATAATAACAGGATTTAAGCAGGTAAATGAGCGTCTCAGCCAGATTGAAGATTTGATGGAAGAGAAATCATCAGATGTTAAACAACAGTTAAAGGAACCTGTATTAACTACTCCAGAACTGTGTTTATTGAGTGTGATGCCAGGTAATTTAGAGGGGATTAAGTGTTACCCAGTAAACTATTTAGCTACAACAATCAGAAAATGTGAGGTTAAAAACTGTCCTGGATTTGTCCTTCCCTTCCAAAAAATGGAAGAAAATAGAGTCAGAGAAACAAAAGAAGCATATTGAGAAAATATGGGAAGTGATTGAAATGTATACCCTTTCAGGCCTGCTGAATGTATGTCCAAGACAAAAGGAAATTGAAAGAGGGGATGTTTTACAATTGGTCTCGGTTTCCTGATAGTGTTGGAATAACTTAGATTCAAATCATAAGATAATTTTAAGTGGAAAGCTAGAGGGTAATCAAACAGTTTAAAAAAAGAAGTAGAAAGTTGATCTTTTATTGAAAAATGAATAGATTGCATGCTTGTATACTTAATATGAATAGATTGGATGACTGTATACAGTATTTTGTGTTCTCCTATCCTCAAAATCCTTTTTCCATCCCTTCCACTTCCTTTCACCCTACCCTATCCCTAGTAGTTTAAAAAAAAATAAATAAAAAATAAAAAATGGTTGTTGATATGACAGATTAGTCTTTCACATTTGAAAGCAGAAAACTCTGTCAAAAAGTTGTGAAATGAATCACAGATTACAATCAGAAAAGTAATGTAGTGTGTTGTTTAACCTACAAAATGCATGACATTGCAATCCTACACGTTTACTAAGAAACAACCCCTGTGAGGATTTATATAGGCAAATACAAAATGGATTCACTTAAGTGAGTATAGAAATGCAGTCTGACAATTTATGAATGACATATGAGATAATTCTTGATTTCCTCAAAGGTATTTTTTAAAAATTATTTTGGTTCAGAAGTATTATCTTACCATTTCCTATTTTCGTCAATTTTGTGCATTACACCCGTTCTACAACACTATACATTTGAAAGCATTAGAAAGCTTCCATCCCACTTCTTTCATTTGCTTCATCTTGATATGAATTTCTGTTCAATAGGATAGCTAGATCACAACATGCCATTCCCTGAGATTTCAAGGCCAAGACCTGAGGCTATGGCCTGGATCCTTGTGATGTCATGAGGTTGATTTTTGTGATGTCACAGAGACCAGCAGAGGCAAAGCTTGAGGAGGAGTTGGAACTGTTTCTAGGTCAGTTAATTGTGGAAATGGGCATGAAGGTAATCTAGATCAGCCATTCCCAACCTTTTTGTTTTTTACCATGGCCATTAACAGAATATGAAAGAAATAAATGCCGAATCAGGATTGTATAAGTTGCATGACAAACCATATAAGATGGCTTGTGAAGAATTGTTTCCAGTCTGTGGCCTCCATCAAATGTGCCAGCCCCCCCCCCCGAATCATGTATAAGTTGCATGACAAACCATATAAAATGGTGTGTGAAGAATTGTTTCCAGTCTGCGGCCTCCATCAAATGTGCCCCCCCCCCCCCGGGGGGCATATGGCCTCTGATAAGAATGGTTGCTCTAGACAAATGCGCCCAGAATATGAGTAAAACCTGACCACCACAGTCAGGAAAAATACCACATCTTTGTATGGCTGGTTAGAAGCCAAAATGTGCCCCACAGCTGTAGTGGCTGCCACCACTCCCACTAGGGTTCACAACAGATGTGGCCTTACGTATAACACACATAATTAACAGGGAGTTTCCCTATGCTATACATGCTGCTGGGGCTTGCAAAGGGGACGCCACCAGCTCAGGAGAAGTCTTTGTTCTAAACCCTCCAACACCGCCGCCAAGATTTACGCTACAAGAAAACTCATGAAACCACCAGCTCCTGGCTTTTTTTATTTTTTATTTAATTTTTTTAGTAGCAGCACTTTAACGTAAAACCAGTGAGACCTGAGACTACTCCTGAATGGAGGAAATCGTTGTTGAGGCATCTTCTGCACAATAACTGAACATTTTTTCTCTCCATTCCTTCTTACTCCGAAATGTGTTCCCCTTCTGGAGACCCAGAGAAGCACAGCAGCTCCTTGAGATTTCATCCAGCACCCAGAGACCTGTGCAATTCATCTTACTGAACATCATGCTCGCACAATATTTCATACGTTAGCTTTCTGAACAGACAATAGGAAGTAAAACTCCCTCCTTTTCTTACCCCACATTGAATGGGACTTTCTGTAACCTGAGTGAAGGCCAGCCCTGAACTGTTTTTGGCTGGTGTGCTAGAGACACTCCATCCCTGTTGGACTGTCACTCTGAGCTTCTGGTTTTATCTTGGCTATATGTTCTGCTGTTGCACTGGTTGTAAAAGTGTTCAAAATGTGGCCTTTTGTTTTCTCATTGTATTTCTTCTTGTATCATAAGCTGCCTTTCTAGAGAGCTTTTGTGGGGCTAGTACTGACTGTAAATTTTATGATTAAAAATGAATACATTAATTACTGGAATACATTGCACACAAAGCCACACCTAAATGGGTGCTATGTGTCTCAGATAATAACTTCAGTTATTATTTCATGATAGATTTCCCAGCTGCATCAGTATGTACCTTGGAAAACTTGTTTTTATTCAAACAAATACAATAGTATGTCAGCACACTGGGGCTTCTCGTAATACATTTCTTGCTTATTGGACAACAAAAGAATTGCTCTGTGTATTAATTAGGCACTTTATGAATGTCAAAGGATGGATTTTAATTCCTGACCTAGTTAATCTTTATTTTGTACTAGAACTGCTGGCATTCTTTCAAACTTTTCATGTTACACATATCAGAGCTGCTTCGGCTTTCTTCCCACTCTTGCTGAGTAAATCAGCTTCCTTGTACTTAATTGGTATGCAGGTTGAAATTTCTCCCAGGACTTGCCAATGCAATAAAGATCCTCAGTCCATTGAAAACAAAAACTTCAAGTTAAAGCTGCAGTCTAGTGTCCTAAAAACTGTTGCTTTGCACTCTGGCCAATAACCAGAGCAACAAGAATCAAACCCACTTCTTCTGCAATATAATCCTCTTCATTTTTAATATTTTTAAAAATTAAGGTACTTTCATTTCAGGGTTCAACATTTGTGTTCTTGCATATTGAACAGCTACACACAAAGTTTAGATGATTTGGTGCTCACTTATGCCTGAATTTTTCTACATTTGTTGCAATGTAATTCCCTTGTTTTTGGGGCACTATTTGGCCTAATAATCCCTGTTAATTTAGTTACCAAATAAAGACACTATGATACCCTTCCTTCAGAAACTGTACTGTGTTCCATGCTATCTGTATCTCTTTCTCATATACCAAAGAAAAAAGTTTGCTTCCACTTCTCTCTCAATAAGAACATCCATTCATTTGATTTCAGATCTCATTTTCAAGCCACGGCAAATTGGATTTAAAAGATGATGGAGAAGCCACAGACAAGAGCTTGCAAAAATCAAATAATGGCTGAAATTCTATTATGCAGCTCTATGTATGCAGCAGTAATGATGTCATCTGTAGCAGCAAATCATAGCTGATTAAAAGCTTCCTTGGGGGATTTGGGGGTTTACGTGATTTCATTGCATTGTCTGTTATTAGCTTACACCCCGAAGTGGCCTTTAATCAGAAGCAATTTGCCTTGAAGCAGTGGCAATTTGCCATTGATAATGACATCATTTCCAGGGCTCACATAGAGCTGAGAAAGAGGATTTCAGCCAATAAGTGGTGTAAAATCTAAGGTGAAGTCACAGTGTAGTTTTTCACTTGTAGATTTGATCAAGAGACATTGATTTCCTTGTGGCAGGGGCACCCACTTACGTGCTTTGCAACCAGCCATGCATATCTAAAAAACATTATGGAGAACTTCATCTCTGTTCATAAATGAGAATCCAAGATTGCCATGTGAAGCAGCAGGGTGGGGGGGATTCAGTTATGCACAGAACTCCTGGCAGAGACTATAGAATGTTCTTCCCTCATTCTGTAATAGATAGGCTAAGCACCATATGTTTAGATTTTAAACATCGCTTCCTAACTTGCATGGAGGAAGACTCCATATATACAACAGGTCTGGCAACTATCATTTAGCAATCTCACCTTATCTTAAAGAATTCTCAAGGGAACTAAATATAATTGCCAAACCAGTATGGTAAAGAAACTTCCGGAGGGGTAGTGTTGCCTGTTAATGCAAAACAACAGACCAGTGATGATTTGTGACTAGGCACTCCCTGCAGAAAAATTATTGGGCAAGAGGTCCTCACTTTGCAGTCCATGTGCCATTCAGTAAATGAAGAGTGAATGACATTTTAAAGACTAAGAAATTTTCTTTGACCTATTTTGTAATGGAAAAAGTGCTGCAGTCCAAGAAAGCCTGTGCCTAATAAATTATTAGTCTTTCAGGTTCCACAGGTTTTGTTGTTGTTGCTGTTGCTGTTAATTTTGTTAGTACGGCACATACGTTCTCTGAAATTTGAAAAGAGATCCTTTATTGAAAGGGGTGCCTTTATCATGCCAGCTTTAACTTCTTTAAAAGCAATTGTCTCTTCAGCTTTACGTTTCACTTAAATACATGGCATTTAATGAGTACAAATGAACATTATTTTTATAGGCTAAATAACACATATCCGGAATAACAAACATAAACTATTAAAAGAATTACACTTACAAGCTGTATTGCCTTGTCAGCCTCCTCACACGTGGTGGTTTGATTTCCTGCTTATCTGATGCACTACTTGTTTGTGTTGACTCTGGCTGTGAAGGGGGAGGACTTCTAAACATAGCAAACAAAATCACATATCTTGGCAAGTTAAATAATCTGCAGTAAATTGATTCAAATTAAAATTTTTTTCGTAATATTAAAATTTAATAAAGGTGCCTCTTTGAGACACATTTGATACCTAAGCATTTAACAAATAACTAAACTTCCTAAAACATCACATAACACAATGCATCAGATATGTACACATAAGATTAAAAGCATAAAATGCATGGTAGGCTGAACTACACTACAAAAACTTACATGAATAGCCATGGTCTTTGACATAAAATTAAGGATATTTAGAGCATGTCTAATATACAGGGAAAGATAATTCCTTATTGTGACTACCATCATGCTAAGTGCATGCTTTTCAGAAAGGACCTAAGGAGCATGTGTCATTGCCAGGAGTTCCTACCTAGATAATTTCATTGAGGTAGTGGTTCTACAATAGAGAAGACAGTTTCTTGGGTAATCAGTTCCTAAAGTTTTGGGTTGTGATAAATTAACAACAACATCTTAAACCTTGTCAGTAACAGATGAATGTATAATGGTGTAATCCCTAAAAGCAGGGACATTGTGGGCTGCCCTATTCGGAAGCATAATTGAAGCATTCCACACCACTTGCAGCTTCTAGAGAACGTGGGCCATATTGCAAGAGTCCAAACACGGAGTTGCCGTTGTCCAAGTTGCGTGAGCAAACAATACATGTCCAAGAACTGTCAAAGGCAGTGCACCAGCTGAAGCTGGTCAAAATCACAGAGAGAACAAGGGCCTCCACCTACAAAGATGGACCTGGGTGTATCCCAGGATGCTCGCTTGATTTCTTATAGGAAGTGAATTTACATCCAGATCAGGTAGAAAACATGTTTCCTCAATCTCTGAACCACTGACCTACAAGACCTCCAACTTGCCAGGGCTCAGCCTCAGTTTATTAACCCCCACACAGCCCACCATTTCATCCAAGAAATGGTCCAGGTCCTGCATGGTCACACCTGCTTCAGATGTGCCACAGAAAAATATAACTTGGTATCATCAGCACGCCAATGACACTTTGTTCCAGATTTCTTCATGACCACATTCAGCATCTTCAAATAGATATTAGAAAGCAGTGGCTAAAAGATGATACTTGCAGCACATGACAGCAACAATTGCTAGGAATACAAGAAACAGTATCCAACTGCATCTCTAGAACAGGTAGACTTTGTCTAGAGGGGCGAGGTATAAGTCCAAATAAAGTAAAGTAAAAGGTAGAGACATAGGGGTGCAACAGTGCCCCAACCACCGAGACACTGAATTGGTCCGGAAGAATATCATAGTTGATGGTATCAGCTAACAAAGTAAGCAAAAGAAAGCCACACTCTTCTTGACCTTTTCCCAATAATAGTAATCAAACTGGCCATAGCAGGTAGATCCAGTTCTGAATCTAGGCCTAAACACAGGGTGAAATGTATCTAGATTAAGAGTATAATTCCAGGGACTTCCGGCTTGATGCTGCAACGAGACAGCAGCAGGAGGACGGGGCTCCATCTCCTGGGCTGAATTCTGACCTGTCTCGGACCCCCCCCGAGGGTTAAAACCACCTTGAAGAGGTGGTGAAATGGGGGAGAAGCCTATTGACCACATGGGAATGGTGGTTACCCACGTTTGAGTCAGGAAACTCCCCAATCGACTGTCGGGCAGAAACAAGCAGCTGAACTAGCTTGCTTGCAAGTCGTCAGCAGCCGGATATGAAGGAGCGATAAAGCAGCCTAATTAACATCGTGCTACAAACGGGTAAGAAACATCTTTTAAAACTGTATCTATTTACTATCCCTGGACAAGACAACTTCTACAGCAGAAATAGGATCTCGCAGCTCTCCATAATCATTGATTGAGCTGCGGAGAAGCTGGGGAGAGGAATTGATGGAGGGAGACACAAGTAAAATAAATTGGGCATTAATTAGACACTAAATTATACATAAAAGGAGGACGTTTGGTATTGTAAGAATTTTTTTTTCCTGAAAACACTACTGATAACAAATTTGGAAAACAAAATCTGTTTATGCTATATGTAACAGCTATCTAAGGCACTGGCAAAATGCCTAGAATCAATGGCCTTGAATGTTCTATGACTGTTTGGAACTCCCTTTCCCTTTGAGGATGGAACTGAACTACAGAAATTAACCCTAGAAAGCCTAATTTAGCCAAAGTGGAACTTACAAAATGTATACTGGATGTTGAACTGAATGGGACCTTGAGCCTTTAGGCGGGGAAAATTCCCTACATCGGAGACTGGATCCAAGCTTAATGGAACTGGATTGATTGCTTTAAGCATATGGACAACTTTAACTTGGAATACAATTTTTTGACAAATTGGAACATAATGACACAACAAGGACAATTTTGGGAGGAAACAAAATCTACCCTTCAAGCAATCTTAGAAATAGTGAGATCCCACAACAAACAGGCAAAATTATTCATGGTGCAGTTGAATAATTATAGTCAACAGGAAATAATGAAAAAGGGAATGAGATGGTGGTATATGGTGTATGGCAACCTAAAGAAGGGTTTGAGGAAATTAATGGGGAAAACCTAGTGGAGTTGAGGAGAGTCTTAAGGGAAGATAAGAGAAGAAAATCAGCAGAATCAATTAAAAATAGCCTGGAAGATATATTAGAGATAGGCCAAGTGTATAAAGATATATTGGAGGTAAATCAAATGCATAAAATGGCCTTAGAGGGCACAAAAGATGGCAGAATGTTTAGAAAGGTAGAAACAAAAATTGAAAAAAAGATTAAGAGAAGGAATTACATAGAAAGATGAAAGAGGGAAAAACAGGAAGGTGGCCCTCAATATTGGAAAGCATGTACAGTGGTGCCTCGCTTAACAACGTTAATTTGTTCCAGCGAAATAACTGTAGAGCGAAAACGTAAAGCAAAATTAAAAAACCCATTGAAACGCATTGAAAACCGTTCAGTGCATTCCAATGGGCTAAAAACTCACCATCCAGCGAAGATCCTCCATACGGCGGCCATTTTCGGTGCCTATATAGCAAGGAATCCATTCCTAAGCACAGCGGGGAGCCATTTTAAGCACCTGGTGGCCATTTTGAAACCCCGACGATCAGCTGTTTTGATCGTCATAATGCGAAGAATCGGTTCCCGAAGCAGGGAACCAATCTTTGCAAAGCGAAAAAACCCTGTTTAAAACATCATTTTGCGATCGCAATTGCGATCGTAAAAACATCGTCGTGAAGCGGATTCCTCGTAATGTGGGGTAATCGTTAAGTGGGGCACAACTGTATATATCTAACTTCTGGAATTGCAAAGGGGCATATCTTATATATTAAAAAGAGAATTGAATGAAAATAAGGGAGCACTAATCAGGGTAAAGGCATAATATGGTGTTGTTATTTTTTTTAAGGTAAATTGAAGCTAGATATAAGTTTGGGGTAAACAAATAGTACATAATGAACATGCATTAAAATGATATTGTTATAGATATGATAGAAAATGTGGAGATAGAAATGGCTAAACAACTATACGAGGAAAATCTGTATAAGATGTTCTAGATAATATATATTATTTGTTAAGAACTTACTCAGTTATCATTGGTATAAATTACCTCAAATTGGTTACATTACCTCAAATGATATAGATCTGGAACTGGAATGACTTTTATTATATTAGAGGATTTTGAAAACATTGTATACTATGAGAGTAATACAGTGGTGCCTCACTAGACGATTACCTCGCAAAACGGTTAATTCGTGAGACGATAGGTTTTTGCGATTGCTATAGCGCTTCACAAAACAGTTTTCCCTGTGGGCGATTTTCACTAGACGGTGTTTCGGTCCGTGCTTCACAAGACGGTTTTTTCGGGACCGTTTTTCGCAAGACGACGATTTTGACAGCTGAGTCTGTGCTTTGCAAAACTTTTTTTAAGGGACGGTTTATCGCAAGACAGCAATTTTGACAGCTGGGTCCATGCTTCGCAAAACGGTTTCTCTATGGGTGATTTTCGCAAGATGATGATTTTTCCCCCATTGGAAAGCATTAAATGGATTTCAATGCATTCCAATGGGGAACTGCATTTCACAAGACGATGTTTTCACAAGACAGGGATTTTCACGGAAAGAATTAACATCGTATTGCGAGACACCACTGCATTATGATAATAGCCAATACTGTATACTACAGTACTTACATGGACTGTTTGAATGATTGGAAGATGTGTGGAATTTGGGGGGACAATTAGGAAGATACCAAGATGAAAAAACAAATAATTGTAAGCAACCCATGTAACACAATGTTTGATAAGCATTAACCAAATGTAGATAGATTGAAAAACCAATAAAATGTATTTTTTAAAAATGAGTATAATTCGAAAGTGCTAGTTGTTGCACTAAAAGATTTATGCCCATCCAAAAGAATGTATCATCAAGAACGATTGGGTCCAAGATGAGTTTCTTCAGGGATGGTTGCCCTCTTTTCTTCTCTTGGGGATATACCAATACCTCTTGAGTGAGGGTCTGAAACTTGAGTATGAACATTATACAGCCAGCATCAACTATAAGAAGCCAGTGCTACAAAAGATGGGTCCCTGGGTGAATGCATTTCCATGTTGAAGTGCTAGAAGATGTGGTCAACATCTGCTGATTCCATGGCAAGGATATCACTCATCAAGAGCCTTGTAAACACATATGTAAAGGCTGGATACAAAGGAGGCTCTAAACTTCTTTGGTTGCTACAAACATTGCTTGCTTCCACACAACAAGCTAGAGACTGAACAGCCAATACCCGCTCATTTCTTTAGTGAGGCACTGATGATGTAGATGAGACATCACAATACATCCCTCCTCAAGGCAGAGCAGACACCAGGAATGCCTACTAGAAAAAGGGAGCTAGCCCTACAAAATAAACTTGTGGAAGGAGGCAATTTGTTGGAGAAAATAACACTGGTGCATGCAACCTAACACTGGGTTTCAGTGGGAAGGGGGCTCACAGCCTAATTTAATTATGCCTTGCCACTAA